TTAGACCAAAATGTACAGTTTATCTACAGCATACTCCATAAGTATATTCTCTACTGAGTCACTTATGTGTCTAGACAAATATTTTACAAAAAATTAATTTCATAAATAAAAGTTAATTACGGAAAGATAAAATTTGATTTTTTAGGATTTAAAATGCTTATATTCACTATAGTTGACATAATACAATTGTTTTTTGCTTTTGATATATTCAGACATTTGCCTCAACTGATACGTCACATGAAAAAGATCAATGATAAAATTGATAGAAAATTTCTTTCCCATGGCAAAGTGTGATTTCTTATTTCAAGATATATAAAATATTTATTCTTTATAAAAGCAAATAGCTATATTAACTAACTCATTTTTGAAATTTTAATATTTATACCAGAAATTTGAATCACAAAATAATGTCTCAGTGTTATACTCATCCTATAACTCAGGAGTGAGTGGCATTTTATTAAAAATTGTTATATTGGTCTTTAATTTCTAAGCAAGTGATCAAACCAAAGAGAATATGAATGAAACAGAAACTTATTGATGCCTTCTAATAGAAGCCTATTGCTTCATTATAAAAGTTTTAGAACTAGAAGAAATAAAACTTTAGAAATTCAAGTTGCCAAAAAAAAAAACCCTTAAAATATAAAGTTTGCTTCATTATAGCTATTTGATTAGTAAGAGTTAATAATATCCTTTTAAGCTGTAAAGAGTTGAGACATTCAAAAAGTAAGCTGATTAAATCTACATCAAGCATGGCTGCCATCTTGTGGGGACAGGATATAATGTATTGAGGGGCCAATCTCAATAACATGTCCCTCTGGGTTACAAGTCATCATTTGTTCTCCATCAACTAGTGTTTGATGCTTGTTAACATTTCTCTTGAAATGCCACATCAACATTTGGACAGAAAAGATAAGGCAACTAAAAGAATTGTTAATGTACATGAATCCCTGTTTCTAAAAGTTCAGTATCATTTGCTAACGTATAGACCATAAGAAAACTTGAAAAGTAGAAGTTTTTCACTTGAACCAACCTTAATAATAGATAAGTTTGGTAAAGCACTTACATTTATTAATCATTCAAATTGCAAAATTTGGTTAGAATTTATATCTCATTGAGTTAGAAGATAATAAGACGTTGACCTGAAAGGGGCTATAGATTCACAGCTTCACAGATTCACAGAAAGCCTTGTAAAGAAGAATGTGATTATAAGTTTATTTTAGAAGGAAGGAAAGTTGGGGGCAAGGGAAGGGAAGGGAAGGAGACGGAAGGGAAAGGAAGGAACGGGAGGCAGGGAGAGAGAAGGGAGGGAGATATAAGCTATCACTGAGGATAAGATTTCCACTAGTGTCACAGACAAAATAGTTTGACAGAGTGGTAAGTGGTAAGTCAGTATGAAGTTGACCTGAAAAAAATGAGGTCAAGATATGCCTAGTGTAAATATGTCATATAGGAATATGTAATTTAAGTATTTTTTCAAAGCTTATATAAAAGTTAAAAAAATGTGCTTTCTAAGTTTAAGGCTTCCAACAAATATTAGTACAACTTATAGAACTCGATTTTCCTATTGTTGTTCAGAAAACCAAGATTCTAAATGAGAAAGTCCCTGAAGCCTCAATGAGCTCTGAACTTCTTAATGTGCCAAGTACAAAAGTTGTTCTTTCAGTCCTTCAACCAAAAGGAATTTATGTTTTTCATATCTGCAAATAAATATCCCAATTACAATTTTACAGCCACTTACTATAACTACTTGTATCTACAGATGGTCAGTCTTTGCCCTTTTACAGTTTTCCTTTCATGCTCATATTAAGGTTGAAATGTACTTGGAATCTTTTGTGTGACTAGCCATATTTATAATAATAATAATATAATCATAAAAAATTAGAAATAATGATCAAAATTTATTATGTCGCATTTTGATTATATTCTCTTAAAAACCAACTCTTTAAGTTTCAAATAAGTTGACTCGTAAATTTATAGATTTTTATACTAAAACAAAATTCATGAGTCATTAAAATATTATTTAACAGTTTCTTAAAATTGACCAATGTAAGTTGACTTACTGCTATTATAACAATAAGTAGCTGATTTTTAAAATTTAAGCATTGGTATTCTTAGCATTTTAACAGTGAAAATGAAAGAATTATATGTTCCAAGAATTTCTATTCTATTACCTTGCTTTCTTTCCACAATTGTACAAGATTGAAGGAGTCAGCATTTGTATTTCCCTCACCAATGCAAATCAGTGTTTCTCCAAAGTCTGTTTTTCAAAAAAAAAAAAAAAAAAGATGTATTTATTTAAATCTTGAGGCAGTAATAATTGAAGTTCATATCACAACCAATGCCTGAATGAAGTAACAGTCTCCACCTTGGAAGAAAAAAATCCACCAAACAAATTATTTGTTATAATGATTAACTGTTTAAAAGTTAACTGATTAACTTTTAAACAGTTAGTCATTTGTTATGGAACTTCAGTTAATGACTGCTATTTTCCCACCATATATGCCAGAATTTCACAAGGTTTGAATGTAAGCACAGTGGGCCACATACAATCACCATTTCCATATAATAAGGCTTGAATTAGAGTTACGCAATCTTAATGAAACCAACAGATAGCTGTCATTAAAACATTGAATATGCACAACCAGTGAATTCATATTTTTTCTTCTGGAATTTAATATCTAACTCACACATGATAAATATTTGTATCCAGCTAACTAAACATACATAATGACAGAAAATTTTGTAAAATAGGAGAAAATATAATGTATGTTTATTAAGTAGGAGTCATTGAATGTAGAAATTATTCCAATAGTAAAAGGACTGTTATTCTTGAAAAATCCAACAGTTAAGGTTAAAGTTAAATTTATACTAACTTTCTTGTGTAACTTTTGGAAAGCTAAAACTCGTGGTTCCACTATATCTTCTGATTGGCAGGAGTGGTCATTATACCTCAAGGCCATTTTGTGATGTGTCACCCAGACTCATTTAAATGTCTGAGTATTAGAACAGTGATTCTTAAGGATGGCTACACAGCAGAGCCACTATAGCGGCTTTAGAATATATTACAGGCTGTGCCCTAAACTCCAGAAATCCTGATTAAATTTGCCTTAAGTGATCATTTGAAAACGCTTCCCAGGTTATTTCAAAGGGAATCTTCATTTGAAAACTACTAAATTGTAGGATTTTGGAATAATGAAAATGCTTTGCTCATAGTACATTAAAACAAATTTCCAAGAGAGGAAACAGTATGAATATGACTATACAATATTTGACTGTCTCCAGGACAGACATTCATTAAATCAGGACTGGACTAGTTAATGCTCTGAAGTTCTTCCCAGTTCCCATATTTTAAGATATCATGGTGGTGTTCTTTTCATGTTAAATGGTTATATCATAATTTTTTGATAGAATACATTGTGACCTATTAATTTTTAGGATATCACTGTAAATAACATTTGAAGCAAGCTATGGGGGTGTGCATCACTTCTTTCAATTCATTATCCGTATCAGCAAAGTGTAATCTATGGAATTGCATCAGAACCCTTTATAAAGTAAAATGACATTAACACCAACATTAATATAATCAATTTTGAGTCAATGTCTACTAATGGAAATGAGATAAAAGAATGATAAAAATTGACAGTAATTAATCAGTGAATGTGTCTTGGAAGCACTGGTTTGTTCCAGATTCAGGAGGAAGTGATGAAATTCAAGTCAACAAAGGGATTCTCTGTAAAGTGCTGTGTTGAATAAAATGTGAATAAGCTTTGGTGTTTACTCTCAAGGAATTTATAATCTAATTTAGAAGTCATCCTGTCTAACTCTCATACAAGGTACAGTGTGTTATGGGAGCATAGAAGGTAGATGGAGTTATTCCATAATAAAGGAATGGACACCACTTCATGGGCAAAAGGAATTTGAATTAGCCCTTGAGATGGTGAAGGAGAGTGACTGGGAGGACAAATATGTGCTTTCCAAGCAGGAATATTGACATAAGTAAAAATATGGCAGCAAAGCATTTTCTGGAATGTTCAGGAAAATATGTACAAGATGAATGAAAACAGCCAGAAGTGAAAATGTACAATTGTGTCTGGAAAAATAGTAACTCAATTCAGCAGGCTAGAAAGAAGGGCTCAAGTGAGGGAATTAGAAGACAAGAGGTTTGCCAAACTTGGAGGCAAGGCTCTGAAAGGTTATGTGATGAGTTTGACATCCACACATCCAACATTCCCAAAGAATATCAATTATAATTGAAACAATATTATGACATTAATACCTGACTTCAACTAGTCACTTGATTGTGTTAACAAATCTCCAGTTTGCAATGAGGTCAGATTGATATAAGTCAATCATTATAAGAAAAGAAGTCACAATGATCAGGATTTTATCTTAAGGAATAAGCTTGCAGAAAATCCTTTCTCTGGAGACTGGGAGGCTGTCATTCAGGACTTCCTCAGCTTTTTCCATGGGAGAGAGATTAACCAACTTCCTTATTTTGAATTTATCTGCATAGGTTATTAAGCTATTCAATGAAATATTTTGACCAAACGTTTCACTGAAACATTTTTGTTTTATTTATGATTATTATTATTTAAAATTTCAAGATCTTCTCTATCCTGATAAAGAAGAATTTCTATCAATAGAAAGGATTTCAGGAACCTTTCTCTATCCCGATTGCCTAAAAAAATACACTGGAGACAGAAAAACAAAATCATTGTATAAAAGGTAATTAGCACGTTCTCTCCTTTTTATAACTTTATAATTGAAATCTCATTAAAAGCTTTCTAGGTCTCTATCTCCCTAAGTGACCAGGTGTCCCTAATTTGTTTTCAGCCAATGTGACTAATTCCAGGCAAAGACTAGAAAAAGTCTGATACCTGTTAGAGAATAGCAAGGTTAAATAAGTGGGGTGGCTTTTTTAGGTTGCATTTAACCTCGTAAAAGAAAAAAAAAAAAAGCTTCAATGTCTTTTCTCTTACAGTCCTGCCTTTTCTCAGTCCCGGTTGAAGATTCCATGGGAAATGAGAACACTATTTTGTTTCTTCCTTGTATTGCAGATAGGGGGAGGAGGTGGTTATTAGAGAGAAGCTCTTCCTCTCTCGGTTTCCCCCTCTCTCCGCCTGACAGCACCGCTCTCTCGCGGGCTCGCTCCTTCTCCTAGGTGATCCATTTCTAGGCAACGTGGGGCTGGTGCTGAAGCTGCCAGGCTCGCTCCTCGCTTCCTGCATCCCGCTAGGCGAACCGCTCCAAAAGCATCCTGCAGCCCGCGGCGGCTTCCCTTCTCTGGCCCGGCCCCGCTGCTCGCGCCCGGCGTAACTCCCCCGCCACCGCGCCCCAGCAAACCGGCTCCCCGGGCCCGCCACGCCGAGCCGAGCTCCGTTCCGCGCCTCGCGCAGAAAGGGAATTTTTTCTGCATTACTATCTGCATTACCTTGAAGTTCACTTTTTCTACCCCTCTTGGAGAGGGCTTTTCCCCCCTCCCTGGTGGAATCTGGCTGCTCCGCTTGGAATCTCCTAATCTTTCCTTTCCACTTAGATTTTGGCAGCGAAGACGAGTGATTCTCTGCGGGCTGTTGGGGCGGGGGCGGGGGTCCTTTTTGGTCGGGGGGTTGTAGAGAAGGGGGCACATCCGGCGTGAGGGGAGTGTTGGAAGTTACGGCGGAGCTGGGACCGGAGACCCGCGGCCCCCGCGCAGCGATGGGGAAAATCTGAGCTCCAGCCTCTCCCCCCTGCCCAAGAGCAGTCGACGCTGGATATATTTTTCAAAAGCCAAACTGCAAACAACTCTGGCGATGCCAAAATTCCCCTCCAAGTGACACGGCTTGGCGAAGGAGGTTTCCTCAGGCTGGGCTCTTTCTGTCATTCCCTCTGCCTCTCTCGGCGACGATAAAAGGCTTTGCTCTGGCAATAGAAATTTAGAAAAAAAAAAGAAAAAGCTGCGCTAAACTCTACTGTGACCTCAAACTCTTTGGACTGTTTAAAAAAAAAATTGGAAGAAAATCATCCTCCCAGAGAATCGGCATAGGAGGAGATGGAAGTTTTCCCCTTGCTCTTGGTTTTGTCCGTCTGGTGGTCTCGAACCTGGGACTCGGCAAATGCGGATTCGATCATTCACATCGGTAAGAAAGGGTTGGTGCAGCTCGTGGTTACTTTTACCGTTTCCGTTCGCGAAGGTTTCCCCTTTGCTTTCCCCCTCTCCGCCCTCTGTGTGTCTTGGAGGTGGCTTCAGTTCATTGCCCCTTCCCGCTACTCTTCCCTCACACTTGCTCAGTTTTTTGGAAGGATGTGGATGCTCGAACCTCGACTTGGGCTGTTGTTTCGCGGTGAATCGTGGAATGTGGCTGGATGCGTGGGGGTATCGAGTTGACCTGTGTGTGTTTGTGTGTGTGTGTGTGTGTGTGTGTGTGTGCTGGGAAGTGCAGAGGGATTCTAAGTGTGTGAGGAAAGGGAGTTTAATTGACTCTTATCTTCCATATTTTTTTTCCCGGATGTACATTTGCTCCATTGTAACAATTATCTTTGGGTAGCAGAGATGTCACCTGTGAGATGAAAAGAATTGGGCTGGGTTGGGGGGGTGGGTAAGGGGCGCTCCCTTCGGATCAAACAGGTGGTTTTGCAACGTGAGCGGGCTGAGTTCGCCGCAGCGTAGTGAGATGGTGACGGGGGTGCCGGATGTGCCCCCAGCCTCCCTTTCCTCTCACGTCCTCTTGGCTTTATGGTCCTCGCGTGGAGTCTCTGAGACGGTGGCGGGAGGGGCTGGCGGCAGTGTCGCCAAGGACTGGGAGTCGCGTGCCTCGCCTCCTCGGACACGCTCTCCGGGCCTGGCGCGGCGGCGAAACTGGCCCCGGGAGCTTGGGAAAGGCGGGGAAGCTAAAGCGCGCAGACCGCTCCCGGGGGCTGCCTCGTAGATATCCGCCTTGTTTAGCGTCGCCTCGCCGTCAACTCCGAGTAGCAGCGCAAGGCAGACAGCGAAGGCGACGGGACTACAGCGGGCCCGGCTCTGAGAAAGACTGCCAAGCCGGCTCCGAGATGCTCGTGGCCCCACCTATTGGCAACCAGGCGGGCCGGGACTGGCCGCGGCGAACTGGCGGGCGGGCGGGGGGCTGCGCGTCATTATCATGCACAGCGCTCTCAGGTTTAGGCTTCAACTCTTCTCACTTGCTAATCCGTGAGAGCTGAGCGGAGACACACTCTTGCAGCCTTTTCTGCGTTAATGCGACGATTTCTTTTTCGGAAATTCGCCAGCAAGGTTTCTTTGCTGGGCTGCAGAGAGGTCCCTTTGGGGGAATTTTTCTGGGCACAGGACTTTTATCTGTACGCATGGCTTGGTGCTCTGCAAATTGAGGCGACAGATGGGTCACAGCTTCTCCCCTTTCTGTACCCCGGCTTCACCACCGCGCAACACACACATATACACACATGTATTCCTGGTAGGGGAACCTGCTGCAGGTGGCAGTTGTGCCCGCCCAAGCGACGGATTTCTGCCTGACGTGTGCGCCCACAGTGGCCAGCCCCTCAGCTCCAGGGGGCTTCCTTTCTTGGTCTCAGAGGCCGTCTTTGTAAACATGTCTGCCATTCTCTATCATTTATATCAGTAGAACTGTCTCTGTGCAAGGGGTAATGAGGTCAGGATACAGAAAACCTAGCACTTGTGCATTAAGTAAATCAAGCACTAATAGCTTGCCTGCTGGATCCCGTTTTGCCTGGGGGCTACCAGTGCCTGCAGATTCAGAACTTTTCAGAGAGAAATTATGGTCACATTGAGTGGTTCAGCAATGTTCTAATAGAGTTCAGAAATGAACTATGCTCCTTTTAAAGAAATAGCATACATTTATGTCCAGTTGTAAATGATTGGAGTAGGAATGCAGATATACAATCACAATACCTTTATATTCATTTTATGATTAGGGGTTTCTGATGTAGGCTCGTCATCTCTCAGAAGGAAAAGCTTGTGGAAAAAGGCTTATTTTATTGCATATTCTGTGGTCTGCACGATAAATACATTATTTACAAATACCTACAGCTTCTGCTATCCCTTACTGGTTAAATACTATTTTGCAATGCAGTCTGGACATGTGCTTCAAAATAGAACAAAACTGTTTTTTTTTTTTTTATTTGCATACTGTTTTTGTCAGAGCGACTTGGCTTACTTATTTATAACAACCATTTTAAAAAAGTGAGTACAAATTACAGATTTCTTTAGAAGGTTGGTTGTATATATTAACTGTGTACAGCAGATACAATTACTTCTGACACAATTAATTTGACTTGAATGCCATTAGTACATTTGATGAGAGAATTAGCTGCTTTATAGGCTACCTAATATTGTCACGAAGCTAGCAAACTATCTTTTGTAATGTATTGAAAAACATTAACTCCTAAACTAAAAAAGATTATGATCATGGGTAGTATGCGTGTAATTCAGTGCCTCCATCCCCACTCTCAGCAAAAGTATAATAAATTCAAAACCGAGTGTCCATATTAAAATTGTAAAGCACCAGTTAACATAAATTGGATTAGTTTACTTACTTGGTTGAATAGGAAAAAAATTAATTTTCTTTAGGAAGTGATTGCTTTCATTTAAATATTTAATGTAAGAAATATGCTTATGGGGAAATGTATTAGTTCAGGACTAAAGGAATGAAAGTGATGAAACTGGAGGGAAAGGGAGTATTTCACCTCCAGAGATAGAAGGAGATATCCAGAAATGAAAGGTTTTCTCAACCTCATGTGATGTGTTCAAGCAGAAAGGAGCTGCAATATGTAGTTCAAAGTGGAAAGACAAAAAGATAAGAGGTTTTTTATATATTGAAGCAAATTGTATATATATGAAAATTATCTCCTTTCTCTCTTTCTTTTCATTTTTTACCTCATGTGGGTAGTTTAATAAGATAAATTACATATTTTGTTTTTCTAATATGTTTTGTTAGACATATTGATTCACTACAGTGATGGGACAAAATGGTTAAACCATAATGATTGAAATTAAAATGTATTTCAGTCAAAAATGCGCAACTTTATAATTATTTCAAGTATCAATTAAATCATATTTTAAAAATGTTTAATTATTACATATATTTCTTTAAAACATATCCACACACATATACACAAATATATAGTATTTAAAAATGAATCACTTGGATTGTGATCTTCTTTGCCCCAATAAAAGAAAGGTCTTTTGACATATAAAAACTATGCAATTTTGAATTATGCTTCTACTTTGAGCCTATGCATTGATTGAGTAATTTCATCAGACCCACATTACTTGATTGCTTAGAAGTTTCCTAATGATCTGCATGCTGTAGGAAGAACCAAAAAGTCGTGAGTGGAATGGCAATGATACTCTGTTTTATGAGGCTATTCAGAAGTCGCTCTGATTTATGTAGCTAGAAAGCTCCAAAGTCTTTGAGATTAGCCACGCTGACTGCTATTTTCTTCATACATCAGTCGTCCCACACTGTTTACTCCCTAAACACAACAGGCGTTTAGAGCACTGCTTTAATTAAGCTGGGATTAGGTGGCATTTCCAGTCAACTGCACAGTTTGTGTTTTGCTTCATATCAACTATGGAGGATCTCATGTTTTAACAGTTTAATATATGCTCCTTTCTTTATCTGGTTCCTGTGCTCACAGAACTGATTGTAAATTAGCTATCCTCAGTTATATATCTCCACAAGGGAATACTCAAATAGTGTACTTATTCACATATTACACAAATCAGTAGCATATTTTTGTTGAGATCAGTCATAGTAAAATAATTATGTCTACATGGAGAAGGAAAGATACATTTATTCTTGTTTTTCTTGTAAACAAATGATACTTTATCCTCTGAAATCATAATCAACTGTGATATGGTATTTGAGAAACCTAAGTCAATCCATAGAATACTTTCATTATGAGAATGTTCAAATTAAAGTATAAAATCGGGTAAATAAAATGTGTCAACACATTAAAAACAATAATAGATTGTAAATGTAAAATACCAGTTATTCTTACTTTTGTAGTAAAGATTATTTTGTCAATTACAGAATGTAAAAGTATTCCTAGAAGATGTGCTGTTCTACCAATTTTTTTTCAGTTGGCTACATTATTTGCATTGGTTAATGATAACCCCCAGGACTCCTCAAGGGCTTTTTGCATTGTGTAATATATCGCAATACTATTTTATCTTTCTTCTTCATAGTTGTTGTTTGTTCTTGAAGTTCTTGGTATCCGTGTAAACTTCTAGAAAGTACTAAGGGAATTGGCTTTACTATTATTTTTCTCTATCATTAATACAGTTATTTGAAGCGCAATTCAAATGTGTATTAAGTTAGACAATGTTGTTATTAATGAAAGATATCAACTTTGACATGACTGATAAGCCATTACACTAAGGACCTTTGCTTTCTGCACCAGGTGAAATGTACATCCACTAAATATGTTATAAGTTTTAAGCCAAATCAAGGTGATTATCATTTGATTTATTCAAAAATTAAAAAAAAACAGTTGAAATTATTAGGGTAAATGGAAGACACATTTTATTCTATTCTGATAGCTCAGGCTAATTTTATCATATGATAATATTACGTTGATGGGCCATTGCAATTTTAAAACCACATGTTTTAATCTAGAAGGTTTTTTTTTCTTCACTTATGTATATTACTTTATTTTTAAAAGTAAGATATTCACATTTCTACTGGATTATCATGATATTTTAGATTTTAGACAGCATATTAGTGAGTAGCAATACATAGAAAGTATTACTACAGTATCATGTTTATTAGAAAATACATTTACGGCCTATAAAGATATCTTTGCCATTAGGTGTCACTGCATTCTGAGCTGTTACTGTTATTTTTAAAAATTTTTTGTAGTACTACTTAAAAACCATATGAAATTTTTTTAATTCTCAGAAAAAAATGTCATTTGTGATGCTGTAAGGTATAGATAGTTTTTATTTTCAAACTAGGAAAATAAAATATTATCCCTGTCTCTCATTCTTGTAAGAATTTAATGCTAGGACATATCAACACACCTGATACCCTCTAAACAAATTAGATTTCTAGACCTATTAATGCAATTGTTTTCTCAGATTTAAAATACAAGAGAAATATCTTCTTAAACTACTACTTATTCT